TTCTTAAACTTTGCATCCACACCCTGGGATATGCCCTAGAGCAGAAGCTACTCAGGGCTGGGAGCCTGGAGCCTGGAGCCTGGAGCCTCGGTAGCTGTCTGGACGGGAAGAGGAGTCCAGGGGCGCTTGCAAACCTTGGACTGGATTCTAGTGGACCAGGATCGGGTGAAGATGGGCAAGTGGGAGCTGGTGCTCTGCTTCCACGAATCCAGCAGGTCCTAGAGGTAGCAAGGCCATGTGTGTGACTGGGGTCTCACTGCCAGAGAAGAGCCACTCGTACGTACTCTGCTGATGGGCAAGGCCAGGCCCAGGCCTGGAACGTGAGGTTGAGGAATCCCTGACGAGCCGCACCTCCTCCTGCAGCGGGGTAGGTGGATGTGGGGTCGAGCACTCTCTAGGTTTGGACTTGGTCGGGGATCTCCCCATTCGCACTATGCCCAGTGTTGTGGGTTTGTTAAGAAAGTTTCTCCTTGTGCTTGGGAGCAGTTCAGGTTGGTGTCAGCCCTGGGCTGGCCGCAGAGTGTTCCCAGGTTTCTCAACGTAGACCGGAGCCAGCAGGACCGCGACAGTCAGAGCTTGAACTCATTGCCCGTTCTTGTTCCAGCACTTCCGATCCCACAGATGCCAGGAGCCAGATGCGCAGCAGGGTCTCAGCAATGCTGCCGCCCTCCAGCAGCGTCTTTACCACAGGGTGGATCAGTGATCGCCCCCCTCCCCGCGGGGGCAGGACAGCCTGTGGCGTCTGGAAAACCCCACAGTGGGGGCCCTTGTGCAGGGGGAGTGCTAAGATCCTGCCCTGGACCTCCCACTGCTCAGGCTCCTGCCTGTGCCTTCCCATGGTGGGCTGCTGGCCACCGGGTGGTCGGGGTCTGCCCGGTGCCCACGTGTCCTGGGCCATCCTGCTGGGACCAGGTGGAGGGACTGTATTGGAGAGTATCAAGCGTCATGTCCTACTCTGAGAGTAGGTACCATCACCTTCATTTTACAGGCAAGGAAACCTAAATGCCAAATGTTACTGCGGGAGACAACATAATTTAGGGTTTAAACTATAAAAATAGGCATTTGTAGGTATTTTTCTGACCATATTTGAAATGTGTGGGTTGTCCCAATTCACTGGCGCTCTGGGAATATAACTTTTGCAAGCTTCGGGGGCCCAAGGTAGCTCAAATGTAAACATTTCTGTCTCACATAAAATTACAGGCAAGTGTTTCAGAGCCCATTATGCACCGCAGTGGCTTCCTCAGCTCCAGCCATCACATCCCCATCAGGTTGGAGAAGAGCATGTGGCTTCTTAAGAGTTTAGCCTGGAAAAGGCACATACAACTTGTACTTAGGTCCGCTGTTGACCCAAACATCATTACACAGATAGTCGCAGCTGCAAGGGAAGCTGGGAAATGTAGTTTTAAATTCATTTACAGTGCCTGGGCTGGCCAGATAGTTCTGCAGATTAAAGTGCCTGTTTTAGCCAGATGCAGGGGCCAGGGGTTCCATACCCAGCCTGCCAAGCCAACTCCACCCCTGAGGCACGCTGAGATGGCTATTGAGACTGGGTGTGGTGGTGCACGCATATAATCCCAGCACTTGGGAGGCTGTAAACAGGAGAATCACTGAGTCCAATCTGTAGTGAGACCCTGTACTAAATATATATATAATATAAAGTGCCTAGCAGGGCCTGTAATCCCAGCGCTTGGGAGACTGAAAACAGGAGAATCACTGCAAGTCTGATCTACATAGTGAGATCCTGTAGACCTGTCTTAAACTCATTTAAAAAAAAAAACAAAAATAACCTCAGAACCTAGAGAGATCCCAGTGGGGAGCCTGCTGGGAAACCCCACAGTGGGGGCCCTTGTGCAGGAGAACCTGCACATATATATATATGTGTGTGTGTATATATACACACACATAAAAGTGCCAGGCAGATGGGAGCTGCTATTGTAATAGCTTTGGGAAACCCTGATGAGATGGACAGGCTATTCTTGATTTCCTTGAAAAGCCTGCGCATGCAGTTAGGTCTCCTGGTTTTGAGCTGCACCCTCCTACTGAGGGGTGATCTGGGCAGGCTGTATAACCTCTCTGAAGCTCAGTGTTTTCTTCTACACAGTGAGGCAATGATAATTATTATTATTATTTTAATTTATTTATTTATTTTGTGTGTGTGTGGCCAGTTCAGCCCACCAGGGGGCGGGACGGGCTGGCATGTGGTGCTGGGGGATTGAACCGCGGTCCCTGTGCTTTTACTTAGCTTAGCTTGTTCTAAGTAGGTGCTTTAGACCACTGAGCCATCTCACCAGCCCAATGATAATTATTAATCTGTTAGTCTCAGTGGGATGTCGGGAGGCCCAAATAAATTACTGCCCCTGAAAGCCTGGCATGGATTGCCAGGTCAGGTGGGGCCACTTCAGGACACCCAGTGGAGCTTAGCTGTGGTTTTTTGTTTTGTTTTGTTTTTTCATTTGTTTTTTTTAAAGTGTAAGCACTTGGTGCCAGCTCCCACAGTGATTTGGGGTGAAAGTCACACATCTGAAGCTCCTTGGTGTTGCCTTTGTGCTATGTTGCAAGCCATGGGAGGGGCCTAGCTGCTCCTGCTTAGTCACCTGCCCAGCTGGGTCCAGCGCCTCTCCTCCTCCAAGCGCCTTGCTCCTGGGCTTCCCTTGTTCCCTCTGGGGAGAGCTTTGATTCCATGTAGCCAGGGAGGGCCCTGGCACAGAACTACAGGCTGGAAGCCCTCAAGCAGCCCTAGCATTGCCAGCTGGGCCACTTCTCCACCTTTGAACAGCAGGCACCAGCGGCAACTGAGGCTTCCACAGCCCAGCAGTCTGCAGGCTCACGGGTCCACACAGAACCTGTTCCTGACTCAGAAGCCGCCCCAGATTCTCTCCCTTCAGGACTTGGTTAGTCTCTCCTGTAGGCTTCCTTTATCCCCGCCCCAGCTCTGGTCCCTTAGGGCTGTCTCCAGAGAGCAAAGCTCTGGAGTCTACCTACCTCCCACTAGTCTGTGAATTCCCTAAGGCAGGTCCAGGCCTGGCTTGTCACAGATGGACCCTAGCAGACCACAGGAGGACCTTGCAGTGGGCTCTCTACGGGGCTCAGTGATTCCAGAATGGGGTAGCCTCCCAGCAAGCTCCCCACTGGGGTGTTTTTAGGCTCTGAGTTGTTTTTTTGCTTACTGAATTTAAGACAAGGTCTACAGGGTCTCACTATGTAGATCAGACTTGCAGTGATTCTTGTTTTCAGCCTCCCAAGCTCTGGGATTATAGGCTCATGCCACCAGGACCAGTCTCAATTACTGCAGGCAGGGCCAGGCCAGTGTGGCACACCGAGTACCGAACCCGGTTCCTGCATTTGCCTAAGTTGGCACTTTAATCTGATGAGCTATCTGGCTGGCCCTTAAGGTCTAATTCTTGATGGCTCCTCGCTCTGGGAGGGCACACAGTCCTTTTCCAAGTAAGAGTCTTCTCTTCAAGGGCACACAGTACATAAACTTTCATGACTGAGTATTGTTTTATTTATTTGTTTATTTTTTTGGTAGACCCGGGGATTGAACTCAGGCCCTTGTGCTTGCCAGGCAAGCACTTATTCTACTGAGCTATCTCCCTGGGACCTTGGGTCTTGTTTTAGTCAGGTTTTTTGTTACTGTAATGAAATATCAGAGGCAGGCTGCTTTCTAATGAAAAGAGGTTTATGTTGGCTCATGGTTCTGGAGGTAAAAGGACCAAACAACACAGCCCAAGCTCTTGCCAGGGCCTGCCTTTGACTGTGTCACTTCATGGCCTTCTTGCTGGCCATCTTGAGGTGGTGGCCCAGGGAGCACATGGCAAGCAAGAGACAGTGCACCCTATTCAGCTGTCTCTCTCCTTATAAGCCACAGGATTCAGTCATGTTGTCTCCATCCCAGTCACCTAATTAAATCATTTTCCAAATGGGCCACTTCTAGGGGGCCGGGGAGATGGCTCAGGAGAATAAGTGCTTGCCTGGCAAG